TGTCATCAAACTCGTTCAGAAATTTCTAAAGGAATCTATCAATAGAAGACAACGACCCCGCTTTCCCTCTTGAAGCTAATGTATTGATGACGAGAGGGACTATGCTGATGACATAGGTATTCATAGTTGGGATAACAATGATCTTAAACATAAAGTCAACATCCTCTACCAAGTGTTCCAAGAAATAGGATTCAAAATAAATCTTTCCAAAATAGAAAATATTATCTGGAATTGGAATGAAAGCAGTGATGATATCAATTCTGAATCCATAATAAAAATTCGGCATCTGGAGGTAGTAAATATCAAATACTTCAAATACATTGGAGTATGGATCAGATATAACAAAAAGATATTGAACGCAAAAGAAGCTGCAGCAGAAATTTCGCTCAAGACCAAAGTTTGTGACAAAATCCAAAACATTAACCTGAAAACCCGATAGTTTTACTTCATTTCAGCCGAAATTATTAACACAAGATGGCGTAAGGAGTTTCTCTCCTGGAGTTTAACAATACTGATGTGAGGCAGAAAGGTGTCTCTCATATTAGTTATAGAAAGAAGTATCGTTTTTGGTGACATTAAAATTATTTAAAATAGATAAATACATAAATAACTTATTAAATTACAATGAAATAATATATATATATATATATATATATATATATATATATATATATATATATATATATATATATATAGGGCTTAAACATTAATATTCATGGTCATAATTTATTCCATTGGAATCGTAAATACGATCAAATCAGACCTACAAATTCAAAAAGAAAAAGGTTCTTTTCTGTTTTCTTTTGAATTTGTAGGTCTATAGAATTGGATCGTATTTGATTCCAATGGAATAAATTATGACCATGGAATATTAGTGTTTAAACCTTTTTATTATATCCTTATCTGTCCTGGACATTGAGTTCTACCTGGATTCTATCCTCTTGGAATTATTTTTATACAAATATATATGTATGTGTATGTATGTATGTATATATATTTAGATATTTTGCATATGTATGTGTATATTTACCACTAATATTATCTATCTATTCATCTATCTATCTATCTATCTATCTATCTATCTATCTATCTATCTATCTATATATATATATATATATATATATATATATTATAAATTAATTGATTTAAAAAATATAGTTTTTCCACTTTACATTTTACATTGAGTACTATTTTGTAAAAATAAAAATATCTATAAGAACACCGGATTATATATCTTACTGTTTTTTTTTTTCTTTATATATATATATATATATATATATATATATATATATATATATATATAAAATATAGACAAATAAGAAAATAAAAAATTCAGCAGTGATAACATTTATTCCCTTTCTTATATTAGGTATTAAATTAAATCACTTAACATTCTCCATAGTTTACCTTGATTTTCACAGGTGCTATTTGGTGTTATCTCTGGTAGCTCACATTTGATGTGTGACTTCTCCAGGAGACATTTCAGTGTCATCTTGAGCATTCTTGTGCAATATCCATCTAGCTGTTTCTTTAGAAATTTCATAATAGCCCACGTTTTTTTTCTTTTTTTTTTTTTTTTTTTTTTTTTTGATCTTTCGAGCAAGACAGCTTCCAATGTTGCAATAAACAATCAGAGTTTTAATCTTCAGGGTTTTTTTTGGGGGGGTGGATGGATCCATAACGTTTAAATTTGTAATAAGCAGTCCTGGCAAGAGCTTTTCTGACAGCCAAATCTTTTTCAGAACTGAATGGATGGAGCATGTAACAAATGAGGAACTTTCTAGGGAGAATAAAAAAGAAGAACTGTTAAACATGTAAGAGATAAGTGAATCTTTTGAAGCAGATAACAAGAAAAGAATGTGCGGGTAACTTAACCGTTATAGGAACATAAAACAGAATCGTCAAGTAGAGTTCAAATTCTCTCTTCCTCTGTTACGTTTATTTCGTACAAATGCCCCTGGGAAAAGGCACGAATCAAATTCTTCTACTAGCTCTGAGTTAAATAGCAGGGTACACTAGAATCTCTAGCTCTGATTGGTAATCAGTCTACGAGAGCAACAATTCTAAATTCCAAAATCTTAGGGAAGACGACGTGAAAACACTTCATTGGCAAGATGATAATGAAAAACAATCTGTGGACAGCCATGATCACCTATGTCCTGAAGGGATATGATTTTTTTTTAAAACATGACTTTAACATTGACATATATATCAAATACAAGGGAACCACCTTGAACTCAGAGACCGAGATACGTAATGAAAGAGTTTGAGTCAAGAAAGGAGGAATGCTTACCACAAAGAGAAAGAGGAGTCGAATACAGCTGGGAGCAATAAAAGTAAGAAGATGTGGAGAGCCATGATTGTCCTCATAACGGAGGGACACGGCAGAAAGAGAAAGAGGAAGATGTGCTTCATTTTCACGTTTTCTGCATATTTTAGCTTTTTCTCCCCTTATTTTCTTTGCCTTATTTTGCCCACTTCTTTCTCTGCTCCATTTCGCTCCCTATTTATACTCGCGTCTTATCCTTAAGTCAACCTCATTTCAATCTTCCCTTAATTTTTTCTTTCTTTCTTTCTTTTTTTCTTTCTTTCTTTCTTGCTAATTTCCTTCATTCATGTCTTTTTTTCTTTCTTTCTAGCTCTTCTTTCTTTCCCTCCATCTTTTTATTCTGCCGTTTCCCCATGCCTCATTAGTGTTTCATTAATTGCCCATTCAACTAAGACTTCATTTTGTCTGCTTGGAATTGCCATGCTCGACCAGCCATTTTGGTCAGTCGGTCGCGTGGACTCACTCACTGACTGACTTCATAGTGGTACATCACTTATGGCGCTCAAGATGACACGTTTAATTGACGTGTACATTTTCCACCTTTTCAATGTCGTCGCCATTTTGATTTTTCATGAATAGTTTTTTTTTTTTTTTCTTTTTGCAGACGATAAATTCGTGTAAGAGAGAAAAGATGCAGAAGAAAAGCAAGCACAGAATGAAAAAATAAAACGACCAAAGACAGATAGATAGATGGATATAGAGAGAGCGAAAGAGACACAAAAGAAAGAATGACAGACAGAGAGAGACAGAGAGGTAGAAGAAGACAGAGAGACGGAGAGACAGAGAGAGAGAGAGAGACAGAGACACAGAGAGATACAGACATAGACAGAGAGCTAGAGAGAGAGAGAGAGAAGGGGAGAGAGACACACACATAAACAAAGGCAAGAGACGATAAATTCTTGCCAGAGAGCAGTAAATGAAAGAAAAGTTACAGAAGAAAAGAAAGCCGAGAATAAAAAAAATAAAATGACCAAAGATAGCTAACTAGATAGATAGAGAGAGAGGTGGGGGGAGATAAGGATATGCACACTCAATCAGAGAGTGAGAGGGAGACATAGACAGAAACAGAGAGACACTGAAAGAGAAACAGAAACAGAAAGAGTGACAGTGAAAAAGACACATACACGCAGAGAGAGAGAGAGAGAGAGAGACAAACACACACACAGTGAGAGATGTAGAGGCAAACACAGAGAGATGCGGAGAAAGACACAGGGAGAGACACTGAGAGAGAGAGACATTGGGAGAAAGATAGAGACAGGCACACAGAGAAAGACAGAAAGATAGAAAGAAAGACAGAGGAAGAAAATAAATGGCAAGACAACAGGATTTCATTTTGAAAATACAAAAAGAAAGAAACGATAGAGGTTTCATAAAAAGAAGAAAAAAAAAGAGAGAAATAAACTTAATATCCATGAAAACGAAGCAATGTCATTATACCACTTATTCTTTTAGGTTGAACAGAAGGTTTGGGGATGTACGCGCGTTTCAAAGCCAGTCGAGTGTTTGTTCAAAATGATGAGCGTTTAGGACAACTAGTCACAAGTGAAACATCAGAAAATGGTGAAAACTTCGTGTGCTTAACCAAGAGTACCGTCACGGAACAATCCGCCAAGTGTTTTAGATGAGTGAAATTAGTTATGCCGTCAGTAAGATTCTAACCTAGCAATGTTCTTATACCAGATTAAATGCTTGAATATTAAATCCGTCAGTCAAATTAACCAATTTCACACTGTAACATTCTGTAGTAACAGTTTGCACACGTTTGAACAGTTTGTAATAAGGAATTTAAAAACAACTTATTAAATTTCGTTTACGTTGTGATTTTGTAGACGAGGTGTGGAAGTTTAAATATCTGGGAAGTGTTTTGACAGAAAACGGTAAGTGCGACGCTGACATCCGAAGAAGCATTGGAATGGACAAAGACACATTTTAAATGCTGGGCTGAGTATTGCGAGACAGGAAGATTTCTTTGGTAACAAAGAAAAGAGTCCTAAGCTTCTATGTGATGGCTATCCTCCTTTACGGCAGCTAATGTTGAACGGTCTCCTCACAGTGGAAGAAGAGTCTCGAACCAACGGAGGTATGGTTCTACAGAAGGATGCTAAGGATATCATGGACCGATCGTGTAAGCAACGATGGTGTATCAGAGAGGATGTAAACAAGGAGGAAATTATACTTAACATCAGGAAGAGGCAGTTTAAATTACTGGGACACGTAATGAGAAAGGAGGGCCTGGAGAATCTGATACTCACAGGTCGAATAGAGGGAAAGAGAGACAAGGGAAAACAACGCATCATATACCTAGAGGGCTTAATCAAATCAATATTGTTCGAAATATTGTTTGTATTTTAATATCCCCTCCTCTTTGAATAAATCTTTGACCCCCCCCACGGTGTTCTGTTTTTCTTTATCTTTGATTACGTGGTATAATTTTGACTATCGCCTATAAATATGCGTTTCTCTTTTGCCTCTTTAGCCAGCTTTCCCTGACGACCCGCTTAGGTGAAACCTGGGTAGGTTTGTCTGGTTCACTAGGTTTATCTATATATATCTATCTATCTATCTATCTATCTCTCTCTCTCTATATATATATATATATATATATATATATATATATATATATATATAAGTGAACATTGATGAAGTCAACACAGAGACGCAATCGTCAGGTCCTGACGATTGCGTCTAGCATGAAACAGCCTGTCGCCCTCTGTGTTGACTTCAATGTTCACGTTTATGTTTGCATAAGCACTATCTCTTATATTAGACACTATATCCCATAAATATAGCATCTCTTAAAACTATATTTCTTCATATATATATATATATATATATATATATATATATATATAACAAGTGTAAATGGATATAAATCCGACAGAATGAAGAAAAATTTGAAAAAACAAACAAAAATCCTTAAATGTAGTTAAAATGAATGAAATGTCGACGTCTGACGTTTCGGTTTTAATAAACCTTTTTCAAGACAATATTCATTAAAATACAATTCAGTTCAATATGACAAATACGATGGACATAAAAACACAAGTCTTATTCATAACAGATAACTGAAAATTTTAAAATGATCAGCCTTCCGTCTAACATGGTCACGCTGTCGTCACATGGGCGACGCTTTCATAACGTATTCCTAAAAGTTTGTGATTATTTTGAAATGAAAAGAAAATGAAAAGAATTCTATTAGGTTCTAAAATTTTTATGTGTATGCTTGTCGAGCATCAATCTCGCTAAAAAAGGGAAATATTAAAAGAAACCAGGTCTAGTATTCACCGTGCGTGAGATGGATATTATACCTGCTTCATAAATCCTCCTGAGATTTTTTATTATGAAAATATTTTAATACTTTCACGGAATCGAAATGAATTATGATCTGCTTTAGTTGTGTGTACAACTAAAGCATTGTTAAAATTACCGAGACGAATATCTCGTTTATATATGTACATATATGTATTTTTTTCCCACCTATTCTGACTGTACCTTTCTGTGTTTTTGAATCTCCCGTGGAAGCCTGATGAGCGGGAGCGAAACCGGTTGCTTCCCCCCTTGTTGTTGAGTTTTTTTTATTATTATTTAATATTATTTTAATATGTCTTGTAATATTAAATTTTACATTTTTATTTCGATCATTAAATTTTGTACCTACAAAATATCTTTAAAATATATATATATATATATATATATATATATATATGCGTTTGACCTTCGTGTGTTCATTTATTTATTTATTTATGAAAATAATAATATAGCGTTGTTTGTGTTTTTTTTTTAAATAAAGCGTTGTATGGTCAATTGGTACAATTCGTCTGATGGCACTGTGAGGTCGAAACCAAGGTCGCGTATTCCATCTGACCCCCTAAATTTTTAAAGTTTAAAGCTCTACATGTTATTTGGCCTTTATTTTTTCACACGTGTACTGAGCACTTTTTATATTACTGTTTCCTTGTCTGATTCAACTCTGACCATTAACCTTTTATGTATACAGAACTTGTATATTGCCTTAAATATACAAAAATGTATCCTTTAAAGGATGATTTTTCGACTAACAATTCTTTAGAATACGGTGGTACCTTCTTAATTAAACAAAACAACATAAATTCAGATAACGAAATACAAGTATATACAGGAGGTTTACATCGACTAAAACTTCGCGTTACATGAGATATCCATTTTAACGGTTGGTACTGTTGGATATCCTCAAGTGATGACGTTTCTTCTCTTTGGGGCAGTTCTTAAACGCCAGTGCACATGAAGCATCCTCTTCAATACCCACAGGCTTCAATCGCTTGAAGTCATTTTAAACCTTAGTTCTGCGAAAGAGCTTGTATACAGCTGACAGTTTACATATTTCTGAACAGGTTTGACGCCATACATGATATCCTTATGAAAGTCTCCTACTGACGAGGCTATTTAAAAACAGGGCTCCAGTTTCAGATTAGTTTTTCGGTTTTCTAACAATTTGTGATGTTCAATTTTCTTTTCTCCCATGCTACATTTGAAGTCTATTTGAAATGTTTGATATTTGCTAATTCCACATACTGAAATTTGATGATTGATTCAGAGTAGGTACCATTATTGCTTTCATTTCAATTCCAGATGTTATTTTCTGTTTTGAAAGGTTTAATTTGTGTCTTATTTCTTCGTAGAAGCTGTTGTTTCTTTGTTCAAGATCATTGTTATCTCAACTGTGAATACCTATGCTGCCAACATATCCTCCCCTCTCGTTATCAGTACGTAGGCATCGGGAGAGAAACTAAGATTGTTGTTTTCTATTGGTAGATTCGTTTTGGATATGGTATGTAATACTTAAATGGTCAATGCCTAGCTCTTCACATCTGTGTTTGCATATGAGGAGAACATACTCTAGTAAAAGATTAAATAAAACTGGGGCTCTCATTTTCTCCATGTCGTACTCCTGATGAGATTTGAATTTTTTTCCGGGTTGCGGTTCGATTAAATTTTCCAATTAAACCGTTGCATTGAGTGGAATCGGTTCGTTGGATGATTTTGTTTGGCGGCATATCAACACCTCTATGGGTTATTTAATGCCAAAATGTAAATATTTAATACTTTCAACTAAATATGTTTTACATACACGATTTACATTATTCAGACTATTGTCCTCATCTCTGTTACTATATTATTACACCGTTTCGGCCGTTGTACGCTCCGGCCTTCTTCAAGTGGTTGGAATGTCGAACTGAACCCTTTATTTCGCTCACTGGTGTAGGCTGTTCTGGTTCCACGTGCCATGTCTAATGGATGTCATTTATCAGGTATTGAACTCACATTCTTTGGGTCCTGTCAATGGATCTAACTGACGTCTTTATCCACTGGTTAAGGCGGTGGAGAAATGGAGAAGGGGCAGGAAATAACTGATAACTGACATCCATAAGACATGGCACGTGGAAGTATCTGTCTATATTTCTGAGATGAAGGTATTATGTACACTATTTACATTATTCGGACTATTGTCCTCATGTTTGTTACCATATTTATTACAACGTTTCAGCCGTTGTACGTTCCGGCCTTCTTCAGGTGGCTGGAATGTCGAACTGAACCCTTTATTTCGCTCACTGGGGTAGACTGTTCTAGTTCCACGTGCCGTGTCTAATGGATGCCAGTTATCTACTGCTTAATCTCTCTTAAAGTTCTCCAGTGCCTTAAACAGGTATTGAACTCACACGCTTTTGGGTCCTGTCACTGGATCCAACTAACGCCATTATCCACTGTGCCATGTGTCCTAGAGTCGGAGCGCACAGAGACCGAAACGTTGTGATAAACACGGCGACAAAGATGAGGACAATAGTCCGAATAATGTAAATAATGTACATAATACCTCATCTCAGAAATATAGACAGATACTGAAGGATCGGATAAATATGGCGACAAAGATGAGAACAATAGTCCGAATAATGTAAATAGTGTACATAATACCTCATCTCAGAAATATAGACAGATACTGAAGGATCGGATAAATATGCGACAGAGATGAGGACAATAGTCCGAATAATGTAAATAGTGTACATAATACCCCATCTCAGAAATATAGACAGATACTGAAGGATCGGATAAATATGGCGACAAAGATGAGAACAATAGTCCGAATAATGTAAATAGTGTACATAATACCTCATCTCAGTAATATAGACAGATACTGAAGGATCGGATAAATATGGCGACAAAGATGAGAACAATAGTCCGAATAATGTAAATAGTGTACATAATACCTCATCTCAGAAATATAGACAGATACTGAAGGATCGGATAAATATGGCGACAAAGATGAGGACAATAGTCCGAAGAATGTAAATAGTGTACATAATAACTCATCTCAGAAATATAGACAGATACTGAAGGATCGGATAAATATGGCGACAAAGATGAGGACAATAGTCCGA